ACTGATAAATACATTTAAAACAACAACAAACATGGATCTGGAGCTGTGGATGCACAGGAAATTGATGTTCCCAGAGCCATAAATGGTTGCTGAGTCACAAAAGGGAGGTTATATTTAATTCTTTTAACAGGCCTATAATCCTGCAAAAGATTGCAGCTGCATTTTCTCTGCTGCATATCCTTCCAGTGTGGCTGTTTCCAAGGGACAGTCTCCTACTATTTAAAACAGGAGTGCAAAACCTCAGTCCCTGGAGCCAAATACAATCCGCCAAGGTTGCTCAGAGAGCTCTGGCCCCAGCCTCTTCCCTGACCAGCAGCTGCTTGGCAGATTCTGGGCACTGCTGTTCTTACTTAATACTTTCGTAGATTTCATATTGCTCAATATGAAATATGCTTGTCAGGGTGGCTTGCAATGGTACAACCAAAAGTCCAAAAAAGCCCTGACAAAATAACCAAACCAACAAATGCAACAACCAAGGTATGAAAATTTTACACTCAAGATTAAAAACACTTAAATCTATGAAAAGGATTGAGAAATCAACAGTAACATTAATATTCAGAGCAACAAATTATGGATTAAAGACATGCTGACAGAGGGAGCTTTTAGCCTAACACCCAGATATATACAGTGGAAAGAGCTGACCTATCCCTGGGATTCCCAGCTCCTCCTAAATATCTTGCAGTTCAATCCTATACATGCCTGCACCTGCCTTCTGTGAGAATCACTCACCTCCAAGTAATGCATCCGACTGCATGCTTACATATGGAAAATGCGCTTGGAAATGGTATGCTTTCACAAAGAATGTACAAATACTGAATCAATGGGAGAAGAACATATATGCTTAAAAGATGCATACCTCGGAAACACACAGGCACGATTCTGCACGAATGTTCATACGAAAAGGAAAAACCAACCCTTGGTAGAGACTCAGCTGAAACAAGCTTTGAGATGGTATTTGGAGAACTATGGGGAGCTTAGTTCCTACACAATTTATTTTTTTATTTATTTTTATTTATTTATCAATTTATATCCTGCCTTTTTCCTACAAAGGGCTCAAGGCAGCTTACATCATTCTCCTCCTCCATCTTATCCCCACAACAACAACCCTGTGAGGTAGGTTGGGCTGAGAGTCTGTGACAGGCCCAAAGTCACCCAGTTGGCTCCATGGCTGAGCGGGGACTAGAACCCAGATCGCCTGAGTCCCAGTCCCAGGCTCTTCACCACTATGCGGAAGGCGCTCGGCAACCATGTTGGAAGCATCCTGGAGGGCCCATTCACACTCACAGCCCTGCTTTCAACACATTTTCTTGTGCTCATTTTATCAGGTATCTGTTCTGAAGTGCAGGTGGGGGTGGGTAGGAATAAAGTAAATTCAGGAGGAAAAGAGTGTTTGAAATTTATTTTAAAAGGCGAATTAAACAAGGAGTATTCCTTGCTCCAGGGAGACATTAAGTAAGTCTGACACCTTCAGCTCTTCCTCTTAACAGCTCAGGCAAACTGGAGCAGAGAAATGCCAATCGTCCCAAACTTGGGTGTTGCCTCTCTTGGGTTGCTCTTTGAACTCCTCAGCTGTATTATCTGCTCTTCTTGGTTGTGTGGGAAGGAGAGAAGAGGAACCTACTGCATATGGTCCCACTGACCACATTGTGTATTTCTCCAAGAAAACCTGAGCTCTTGGCTGAGATGCACTTGCTCACCTGCCCTTGTTTTGAAGCCTTTTCCTCTGCTGACTTCCCGGACCCAGAGTTGAAAGCAGACCGTATGATACAACAGGTTAAAAAGAGCTGAAAAGATTTGGCAAAGGATAATTGTAACTAGGAGGCATTCTTCTAGCAGATCAGACTGCTAGAACATCTATGTCTGTTCTGTACGGACTTATCACTGGCTTGGTGGGGAGGACACAGGCCTTGCTTAGATTCAGAAAATCATAGTTACATTGGCCGGGCCATGAATGCCATCGGGCCCAACCCCTGCTGTTGCAGGACACCAATCTGCAGCATCCCACTCAGTTTGATGTCTGCCTCGCTGGTGCTGGAAAGACCATGATGCTCTTCACTCTAGTCGCTGCTACCTTATTCCTCACTCCTTGCTCTGGGATTAGTGCTCTGTGTTCCGGCTCACTAGCTTCTCCTTGACCTTGTTTCTGGAGCATGGAATGCACCAGACTGTCTAGGTGTGTTTTGACATATCCGCCTGTTAACGCGATCACGCCCGTCTTCAGCACCAGGCAATGAGGCAGCCTCTTTCATCACACCTGAATGCAGCAGTCTGGTTTAGAGGATGCAAGCCAGGCCGTGCAACCCACACCTTTGTCTTGGAACAAACTACAGTCTCATGAGATAGGCTAGGCAGACCCGAGCTAGCCATGAATGTTCCAGGAAGTAGATTTGAGCTACACATGAGGAGGAACTTCCAATGGGTCAAAGGGTTTTGATGTTGGAATGGCTCACCTTCACTAAGGTGAGGCTGGGTGGACATCTGGAAAAGGACCTGGAGCTGCACAGGGTTGTCCAAGATGACCTCCAAGGTCCCTTCCAACTCTGTTTCCAGGCCAGGCAGATTTGGATTAGGGTTTAGCAGAGGTGTAGGCTAACCCTCGCCTGATGAACTCCTTTCAGGGACAGGACAGAAGAGCAGCACAAAACTTACTAGTTTTCTCATTGAGGTTACTAGTGATTTGGGAGGCAACTCAAATTTAAGGTCATCGGTGGAGGCCCTCCTACAGGTTCCTTCCCGAAAGAGGGGCCTTTGCTGCAGTGGCACCCAGTTGGGCAATCCCCTGCCACTGGAGATCCATCAGGTACCTACTTGACTGGGATTTAGTCACCTGACAAAAACTCTTCTTTTTCAATGCACCTAAGACACTACTTAAACCATCTATATCAACGGCACTGGTTTTAATTTATTAATTTCATTAATTTACATGTGTGTCTGATTAGATATATTCTGTTTTATCTTGTTTATTTATTGTAAAATTTTAACAGCATTATTTTATTTAATGTTGTTATTGACATTTTTATTGCAACGGTCGCCTAGACAGCACGATGCTAACGGGTGGCTTTTGTACAAATTCAGTAAATAAATAGTAACAAATACATTGGGGAAATGGTGTGGGGAATGAAAACTCTCCACAACACCCTGGACATGAGTCAGATCACTGCCCATACACAACCCTCATGACGGACTTCAGTGCTGAAAGAGAGGCAACTAATCACAGGTCTCTTGAATGGTGGCAGAGTTAAAAGAAGATCCACTAAGGGCTGGATCCCCAAATCTTTCTTCTGGAGCCCGGAATCTCTGTCCGGGGCACTTGCAGATGCAACGATGCAGTGCCCTTGGCAGTCTCTGGTGCCTTTGCTACCCCAGGGCTAGCTGGCTTTTGGCCACATGAGCTTCACCTCCTGCTGCCCACCAAATCGTTTTGCCCGAGAGTGTTTTCTGCTGCCCACCAAATTGTTTTGCCTGAGCGTGTTTTCTGCTGCCCACCAAATCTTACCCTCCTCTCCCTGGTCCATGCATTCCTTTTTATGAATAGTTATCCGAAGGAGTCAAGTTCCTTTAAAGATGAACACAGAGACTTTAAAGAGCATGTAAAATGATAATAGGCAAAATTCTGCATGCTTTGTCGTGTGAGGCCGAGTCCTGGATCTGCCTGGGACTCAGCTCCATCCTTTCTGCTGAAGAACAGCTGGTATGACCCCACAAAATAGTGACTGGCGCTTGGTCGCCCCCTGAACTGATGTCAGGATTTGAATCTGAAACTAAGCCAGTGTGGTGTAGTGCTTAGGACTGGCCAGATCCGGGTCCCAATCCCTACTCAGCCCCTGTGGGGTGACCTCAGGCCAATCACTTATCCGTCAGCCTAAGCTACCTCACAGGGCTGTTAGGATGATAATACCTGGACTGGGGTTGCCATGGGTGTCCCTTGAGCTCCTTGGGTGTGGGTGGGAAGGGTGGAGGATGCGCCATACGCCGCACCAGCTCTTCCACATTGCATCGGCCATGCGGCACCTGCGGGATTTGGAGAAGGGTCACGTACATGCGGCCCCCAAGCAGAAATGCATGCTTTGACGTAGACATTCGCTAAGAAAGGGGTGGGGAATCTGTTCCTTGACAGATGTTTCTTGACTGCAGGTCCCATTATTCCCTGCCATTAACTCTACTTGCCAGGGCTGATGTTGTGGGACTGCTGCTCCCATCTGGAGGGCCACACGTGCTCCAGTTCTGTTTAAAAGCAAAGAAAAGTGAGAACTTTGGACCCCTTAAGATGCAACCATTTGTATGTTTAAGCAGAAGAAAGTCCTACAACTTAAAAACATACATTTCTCAGGCACAACTGTGAAAACATAGTTGTCTGAGGCTTCTAAGTATGACTCACTCGATGTTTCAGTGGGTTTTGATAGCTCAGAATGAGTGGGTTCTCACTCTGGCTTATTTTTCATATATTTCAGTCCTGCTTTGACTCAGAAATGTGGGCACTTTCACACCTCGCTCATGTTTTGATGCGTCATCAGTAGCGGCACCTAATAGTTCAAGAACGCTGAACATTCCAAACTTTTGTCCTCCTTCATGTTACAAAAATTAGCCCCATGTTCCTTGAGTTTCTTTAACAAGCACAGCTTCTATGTCCAATAGAAACTAACTTAATGGAAAGTCCAGGAGGGGGGCGGTAAGTAAGATGCAGTCTGCAAAAGCATTCCCGTCTACATGCTTTTAGGATTAAGGAAGGAAAGTACGCCTTTGAAAGGGCTTGGCTGGAGACGTTGATCTCCCCCCGCCCCCCCCCCCACCACCCATGTGGAATTTTATGTCTGCATCCCAGGCCTCACCAGCAGGCCTGCAGAAGGAAATGTGTGTGCGTGTTTATGGAATTCAGTGCATTTTCTGTGGCACATCGGGCTGTTTTCCAGGTCGTCACTCATGTCCAGGCACACCCCTTTTACACGAGCCTATTTAAAGATGAGCCTGAGGACGGCATCCTGCAAACGACGACACAGAGTGCAGGGCGCAGGGGGCTCACGATGCTCGCCAAGGTGGGGGCCATCGTCACTGTCACTCTCTTCCTCCACGTCCCCGGGCCTGGCTGGGTATGTATCCATGCACCACGGAACTGCATGCGCGGAGAGGAGGGAGCTTGCCTTCTGCCTCCGGTGCCTGTTGAAGGACATGCCTGCACACGGCAGGGCTGTGCCAGCCTGACACCCGTGCAGGCGGCTCACGCATCGCATGCTCTGGGTGCCCGGTGTGATTCCTGCTGGAAGCACAGCGGTGTCGGCTTTGCTGTCACACGTGCTGAGCTTGCTGGGATTGCTGAAATGAATTCTTCAGAGAGGGAGGATGCTTTGCCTTGGGAGGTGCAAAGGAGAGGGGCTGTGGCTGATGGGCACTTTTGACAGGCAGAAGGTCCCAGCTTCAAACCCAGGATCTCCGGTTTTGTTTTTTTAATAATTAAAAAAGACCCTCTGGAGTAGAGACCCCGGAGAGTTTCCCAGTCAGAGGAGACCTTACAGGGCTGAATGGGCAAATGATTTGGGCTGGTGTAGCATAGACCTAGTGTAAGAGAGGTGTATGCTCCTATGCTGGAGTGGGCAACCTTCAGGATTGGGCTTCAGTGCAGCCCCTACCACCCTCTGCCATGGCACTGTCAAACTCTGGTGATGCCGCAGCAGCCGTGGAAAAGCGGTGGATGCACGCCAGAGCAGAGGCTCAGGAGGAGCCATTTTGGGGGGTGCAGGAGCAGCAACGGTGGTGCGGGTCCCGGTGGGCCACAAGACATGTGCGTGCAGGAACTGTCAGTGGGCCACCCCCTCTTTCCTTGGCGTCCGTGTTTCTGCAAGTGTTATAGATCATGCTGGGCGGGCTGCCCTGTGGCATAATGCTGGGACTGTGCCAGGCTGTGCCGGTTTTGTGCAAGGCGTGCTCAGGGGCACTGCTGCAGTGTCCGTGAGGCTGGACTTGGATAGCTCCCGGGGGGGGGGTCACCAAAGGAGCATTGCAATGGTCATTGGTACTTTGGGGGGGGGGGGCATCTCTTTCTCGAAGGGCATAGCAAAAGGAAACTCTAGACTTGGACTTCCAGGGAGATCGGGGCGGTGGGGGTGTATGAAAGACTTGGGAAACTTCCTCTTCTAATACAAAGAGGTCCTTAGCCAGTGATGTAACTTTGTGAAAACAATGTGCTTAAAATGAATTATAATGCAAAAGGGCAGCAAGAATAAACAAGACCAGGCTTCATGTACAAATAAGGTGCTCTGGATGAGAGGCGGTTGTTCTTAAGTTACATTTCCCCCCCGGTCCATCTTGCAGTAAGCTCAGCATGTCATGAGCGGAGCCGGCTGGAGCCGGGGGTCAGACTAGATGGCCCAGGAGACCCCTTCTGACTCGCTCTGTTTCTATGTTTCTTCTTTCGCTCTGCATGCTAGTGTCTGCACAGCACCCATGAGGGAGATAAGGCTGAGAGATGGTGACGGCCTCAGGTTACCGGAGAGTTTCATGGCAGAGTGGGGGTTTGAATCTAGGACTCCCCAGCCCTTTAACTGGCCTTCTCCAACCCAGAGGATTTGAACTATGGTACCCAACATCCCCAGCCAGCACGGGTGCTTGGGGATGCTGGGAGTTGCAGTTAACAACCCTGGGGTTGGGGGCAGATGAGGAAGCTTCCCAGCACTGTGGCAGTTCCCAAACTTTCCAGCTGCCCCTCTCCTGTCTGTGGTACCGCTGAGCCAGAAGGGTGCTTTGTGCAACTGCTCAGCCTCATTCATGGAGTTTTACAGTTATTTTTTTCTAAGATTTTACCTTCCATTCCATTTTGCCTTCCAGTGTTTTTCCACTGCTTTTCTCCTGTCCTTTCCCCCTTACCTAAGCAAAATCCTTCCAGGAGAAAACCAGGAAAGAGTTCCAAATTAATTGGTGGTGCTCAGAGTCCGGAAGCATCCCATCAGCTGCTCTACAATCCAAGTCTTCATGGTTTTCCCAAGGAAATAGGGGGGTGAATCCAGATTTACTTCCAAAACTTTCCTCCTGACTTTAGGAGTCAGACGTTTCTCCACTCAAATCTTGCCTGAAGAACACCAAGAAGGGCAGGGTGTTTGCGGACGGTGTGTGTGAAGTATTCCGATCATATTGTCTGAGTTCAGACACGCCGTGCCAGACAGGGCTGAGCAAAACGGAAGGTATGACTACCCAGGATGGGTTTTTGACTAGTAGCCCTTCTGGTCCGTAGAGGTTGTTACTATCTCCATTTTAGCCGCAGCCCTTATTACAGTTTTCATCTTATTATTTATTTCACTTCTGTATCACCCAGAGCTGAAGCTCTCTGGATGGTTTATAACGAAGTATAAAAGCAAACTGTGAAAGGTATCAAAACAATAACATTATAAAACAATACAGGTATAAAAACAATATACATATAAGAGAGAGACATACACTGGTGATAGGGAGGACTGATGGGCTGAGAAAAGAGGAGCCGCTTCAGCCTGGCAAGGATACAGATGTTTTGGGCCAAAACTCCTGACATTCATGGCCAGTGGCTGCACTAGGTGGGTCTGAATGGAGATGAAGTCCAAAATATTTTGGAAGCACCAGGCTGGGAAAGACACCCTTACTGGCTGTTTAAAATAAACTTCTCTTTACAAATTGAGAGCGAGAAATCATTGTTTGGAAATCATTCTTAAATGCATTTCCTGGAGAGAGAGAAAGAGAAGCCCGACAGTATCCAAAGAGCTATTCGCAGGGTGGAGAAGCCACTTAAAATGCACAGTTAAAGCCTGCATTTCAGTGAATTAGTGCTACGTTCTAATTTTGCCACAGGTTTAGTTTGCAGTGGCAGTCCCTCAAATGCATGCTTGGCTGAAGGTGCCTGATGGACAGGGCGGGTGGGTTCACATGACACATTAGACCATTGGCGGCTAATAAGCCACGATGCGACTAATTAGCCTGCAGCCCAAAGTACCTGACAGATGATGAGGGTCCTGAGCCACTTCCTCCCTCTCCATCTTTTCATGGGTATCCCAGGGAACATTGCAGGAATGCTATTTTTCTACTCTCCCCGTGTTATTTACAGAAGATCTTTCCTGATGATGGAGATACTGTAATTTCCCATCACCTTTATGCAATCAGAGAAAAACTTGTCTCCTTTAATCTAGATTTGGGACGAGGGGAGTGCAGAATCTAAGAACTGTGCTACAGAATTTATGTTTCTTCTTTGCCGCAGTGGATTAGCAACCACATGCAGAGTGTCCTATGAAGCAGAGGAGGGCAGTTCTGTGCCCCTTGGAGTATATAGTCTGAAACTGGACAGAGAGGAAATGACAGAGGAAGGCAGAAAAAGAGAGCAGAGAGTGGACGGGGGGAATCGGTGTTAATTTCAGTTGTGTACACTTGGGCTTGGAGACAGTGGAGTGTGGAATCCCAGAAGTGCCTTCTCAGTATCACGAGAGCAGCTCAGCGAATCCCCTTGAGCCTGGTTGTGCGCATCATCAGCCAATGGCATTGGTGATGCATGGGTTGGCTGCTTCCCCAAGGTGGGATCGGTGTGAGCCAGGCAGGCCTTCCGGGGAGCCAGAACAGCTGCAGAGACAAGAGTGGGTGTCTCACCCAGGAGGTTCTGGCAGTGGGGAAGTTGGGTGACTGAAGCAGAAAGAACATTCAGTGCGTAATTTCCCAGCTCGCCAGGTTCAGCCCGAAGGACTGAATGCACATGCATCTTGTTTCGACTTGCAGGCTGAGCAGATGGGACCAGGGCGTCACTGAGCATGTTTGTCGGGAGCAGGGCCCTGAATGGAGGTGGTTCTTGCTACAAAAGCTTTTTGGCTATGCCTGCTTGGGTCTGGACTTCTTTGCAGACGGCATGCCCAGGTGCCACAAAACATCTTTTTCCGCCATCTGCAGCTGGTGGATTTCCAGCTGCAGCCTGTTCTTGACGGAGATAGGCTGGTGGTGGTACTTCACACACCACACAACCTCCAGTAAAGACCACTGTAATACATGGGGTTTCCCTTGGAGACTGCCCTGGAACTGCAGTTGGTGCATCAATGCACAGCTGCAAAGCTATGAGCTGGAACAGATGTTGAGGACATAATCTCCTGGGCTTGGGATTGGTCTGAATGATCTTTCCGTCTGCCTGGCTACTCAGTGCCTCTGAGATGCAAGATCCCTTCCAAACACTGAATCCCCTCTGCAAGTGGAGCGGCCGACGTGGGTGAGACACTGGATCTTAAGACTCGACGAAGGACAGCTGCTGACATTCCAGTGGGGTGTCTGAGTGGGAGCCGAGATGGCCAGTTGGGTGGATGGAGCGGCAGGAGGGCAGAGAAGGCTTACTTTGCTTCCCACCACTGGACAAAGGAAAGGGAGAGGGAAGCCAGCGTGGATAGCCAGAACTCAGTGCTGGAACAGGGCCTGGAAAAGGCAGACAGCTGGTTCGCTCTCTGCAGAAAACCGAGATCCTCAGGAAGGGGTTCCTTGGATGAGATAAAGCAAGGGTGGAAAACCTTCCTTCTGTCAAAGGCCATGTGGCCACAAGGACAAAAGGTCTGGGGCTGTGTGTCAGCGTCAGGCAAGGTCAGATCCAGAAACAGGTGGGTCGTCCCTATTCTCTCCCTCCCAATTTCATTTTACCTGGCAGGTTGCAGGGCAAGGGACAGGTGGCTCTGCCCAGGAGTCAGAAATGATCCTATGCAGAATGTTTTAGATGTTAGCTGAAGACCATGAGTGGATTTCCCATGCGATGCAATAGTCTGCTGGAATGTTAATAGTGTGGACACCCACTTGGGGTGCCCATACGTTTTATGAATAACCCTTCTTTGAGAGAAATGGCATGAGTTGCCCTTGATCTGCTTCCAAGGAAGTAACTCTTGGTATGCACGGATACCCCTGAAATTTCTCACACTTGAATGTGGGCGACATGAAGGAGCAACATCTAAAAAGCTCGGCTGGCTCTGGGGGCACTTCTGAGTGCTGAAGTTTCCGCTTAGAGCTCTGCATGGACTCATGGACCTAAAGTAGTGCTGATCCCATAATGGAGGGCAAAAGGATGAGGTCGTCTTTAGAGACTGTTTTCCGGGTGCCTCTGCCTCATTTGCAGTGAGCTGGCTGGCAAGCAGGGGGATTGTCTTCTCGGTGGCAACACCTGTTATGGAACTCAGCCCCTGGGGAGGCTTGCCTGGCGCTCACTTTGCTCTCCCCTGCATGGTTTATATTCATTTCCCCTGGTCTTTTAAAAACTAATATTTCGGCAGTTTTAATTGATGATATGAGCCAATGTTTAATGTCATCACGGTATTGTTTGATTGTAGTGATGTTGTTCTTATGTTTTATTTATTCATAATTCCATTTTTATGTCACCTACGACTGAGGCCTCAAGGCAGCTTACAATAAAGATTTTGTTTTGGGGGGCATGTTTGGGGAAACACCACAGTGGGCGATTCCAAGAGGGTGAGTATATTGCAGCATTCCCGGCCCTCCAGAGGTGCTGGACTGCGACTGGAGATTCTGGGAATTGTAGGCTGACACATCCAGAGACTGCCCGGCCTGGGATTGCCGGAGGAGCCCCTGCGACGGATGTGACAGAACTCTGGCTCCGAGCTTCTCCTGACGCTACCCTTCCCTGTTGCTGCCCTAGGTGGCGTCCCAGGCATGCACATACCCGTGCGAGTGCCCTTCGCAGCCACTCCAGTGCCCCGCCGGCACCAGCCTTCTCCTGGACGGCTGCGGCTGCTGCAAGGTCTGTGCCAGGCAGCTTGGCGAGCTGTGCTCCCTGCAGAAACCGTGCGACCGCCACAAAGGGCTCTACTGTGATTTCTCCAAAGTGCACAGAGACAGCGGCATCTGCTTAGGTGAGCTACCACAGACTCTCTCCCCTGCTGCGACAGCAGACAGAGACTTGTCCTGTCCAGAGGGCCAGGACTGGACTAAGGTGAGAGATTTGGGTTAAACAGGAAGGTGGAACTACTTGTCTGAAGGAGCGGTGAGCTCCCTCTTGCCTGGCAGGGGTGTCTTCATGCAGCTTTCTGGTGGGAAGGGTCTAACTGTGGATTTCCTTCATAGAATAGGGGGTTGGATTAGATGGCCCCCATGACCCCTCCAACTCTCTGAACAGATTCTTGTGTAATGACAGCCCATGGTTTAATTCGCCATAGTTTGTTGAATCATTGGTTGTTACATGCAAATCTGGAACTATGGGTTAGCAATGCATTGCTAACCACAAACAAACCACGAAGAGACCCTATGGTTATGAACTGTGACTAGTTTAAACCATGAGCTGTCGTGTCATGCAAATTCAGAATTATCCGTTGTTTCACAAAAGGTGTGAGTAAGCAAGAGTGGTCGGAGGGCAGCTTCTTTATATGCCAGCAGGGCAGCACCAGAAAGGCCGTCAGAACAGAGGGTAGGCGGTGGTGAAGGAGGACAGAAACAAATAACCCATGGAGTGAGAAAACAAACCATGGTTTGTTCTATTGTTTGCGCGACACATGAAAACACAGGGCAAGAAAACATAGTTACAATAGACTGTGATTTAGTGTTATGTGTAAAATAGGCTTCTGTGAAAATGTATGAAACCAGAATCCACTGCTCCCAAGACGTACATAAATTGCATAAAAGACACATGAGGGGAGCCTATTTCGTATGCATCAGAAGTTCAGAATAACTGGGCTAAAGAGCTAGTAATTAGGAGTATACATAGATGACTGGAAAGCAAACAAGCAAGCATTCCTTTGTTTCTATGTACATGTTTCTGTGTCTGATGCCCTCCAGGTGTTTTGGACTAGAGCTCCCATAATTCCTGACTACTGCTCATGCTGGCTGGGACTGATGGGAGCTGTGGTCCAAGATATCTGAAGGAGGCAACGATGTATGGTTCATGAGCAGGAGGAGGGCTGCTCTCACAGGCTCCCACCTTCTCCCTCCAGCTCACGAAGGGGCAACCTGCGACCTGCTGGGGAGCGTCTACCTGAACGGCGAGAGCTTCCAGCCCAGCTGCAAGCTGCAGTGCGTCTGCATGGACGGAGCCATCGGCTGCATCCCGCTCTGCAGCGACGGCGCGCGGCTCCCCTCCCCAGACTGCCCCTTCCCCCGCCGGGTGAAAGCGCAGAACAAATGCTGCGAGGAGTGGATCTGCAAGGGCGGCCGCAGGCAGCAAAGCCTCTCCAGAAAGGAGGCGGCAGGTGAGACACGCTTCAGGGGAGCAATGAAGGCGCAGGGGACCTGATAGCTTGCTGGAAAGCTGCCAGGGCTATCACTTTTGCTGATCAATAAGCGCTGATAAGGCTGCCAGGTTAACAGGTTTGCAATCACCCTCATTTGCATGCTGAGAGCCACCATCATCTCTGTGCCTCAGAGATCCTTAATGTAAGGATATTAACATATCCTGCCATCAAATGCCATTGTATCGAGCCCCCTCTGCAGACCCCTCACCTCCTTCTGACTGTGTTCCCCTTATTTGGTCATAAACTACTGGGCCCATGTGACTCAGTCTATAAAACACTCTGCATATGTTCGAAAAGCTTGTAGTTGCTGGGGAGAACTACTACTTGGAGTAACTGCAGGGGCCCTGGGTGATCTTTCAATAAAACTGCTGAGGTTCAAGGTGAAAGGGGTCTTTCCTGACTGAACCCAGTTATCCTGTCTTGCGGCTGCCATCAAGGCTTCCCGACAGCATCAGGGTGATCTTTCCTCACATTGCACCTTGGGGTTCCTGTGTTTTCTACTCTGCTTCTCAAGTCCCAGGACTTCGCTGCACGAAGCATTTGTGGTGCACCTGCGATTTCTCACTCACTGAAGTTCTGAGGGCCTTTATACATCCTTTCAGAGCCTCGCCTGTTTTCCAGTCATTTCCACAGGCTTTTGCAGAGCAAGAAAACTTCTTAGAGGTTTCCATTATTCACTAAAAGGCCCAGGCCTGTTCTCCCAGTTCCGCTCTATGCCACAGCGCCCCCTTGGGCTGTGTAATGAAAAGTGTGGAAGGGCGGACAAGAAAATTGTTCCAAAGATTGCCCCAAAGGATGCTCTGATGCTTCCAAGAAAATGGAAACACCCTGATAAAGCGTGTGTCATCCAGAGAGATCCTAAAAGAGTTTCTAGAGTGGCTGATTCTAAAAAACCCACCTGTTTGCAACAAGCATCACCTCCTCAAAAGGGAAACTACAGCAGCAGGTTGCAGATCCGTGACAAAGGGGCACGATAAGGAACCTCTGGAAGCCCATAGTGCTGAGTGAAAGGGATAAACCACTTCCCGCCTGGCCTTGCGCTTTGCTCACGGAGGCCCTTTTGCCAGTCTCAGCTTACAGGAAGAGTCCGCCTCCCACGCCCATGTCCCGGCACAACAGCCTCCAGGAGAACTGCTTGGTGCAGACCACCGGCTGGAGCGCCTGCTCGAAGACCTGCGGGATGGGCATCTCCACCAGGGTCACCAACGACAACCCCCAGTGCCGGCTGGAGAAGGAGAGCAGGCTCTGCCTGGTCCGGGACTGCGAAGGCCCCTTGGAGGAGACCATCAAGGTACTGTGCCCGCCAACCCGAGGGGTGGGCAGCGGCGAGAGAGCTCGTGGGAAGGCCAAAACCAGGACTTTTTGAGTGGGGCTGGGGAAGGCCACCCAGCCCCGCACGGCCGGCCTCTGCGAGTGGAACTGCATGGAATTAGGTCCAGGGTCGCCGCCGGCTTGACTCGCGTCTCTCCTGTCTTGTTGCCCTTTGCTCTCTCGTGTTTGGTTGCTCTTCAGTCCCTTTTCTGGGGGTTTTCAGTGCATTTATCAGTTCCTCCATAGCCAGCTGTTCTCGTGTCTCTTCCTTGGGTATCTGGAAGAGGTGCAAGGTTTTCACCACTTCCTCAGTTGTAGCGTGACTTCTGGTTGCTCTGGTTGCAAATGCCACTTTTTAAGAGGGCATTTTCACATCTTTTTCAGTTCCCATGGAGTTTACAGATTGCTTCCCTTTTATTCTGTCTTTGTGTGTGTCAGGGTGTTATTTTGAGGGTGGCTAGTCATAGCTCATTTGCCCTCAGCTTTGCCTCTAGGTTGGTGTCGATGAGAAGACCACACTTTTCACCAAACAATTAAAGTATCTAGTTCTCATTGAGGGGGTAAACTTCCGGCTGGTCTGTGCCACTTAGTATTCAGGTGAGAGCTTACATGAATAGATGCCACTTCATATGATAAATCTCCCTCCACATACATTGATATTTTACTGCATTATAAAGTATTGTACCCCATAGTGGGTGAAGCTGAAGGCAAAAGGAATGAGACCAAAAGTAACAGTGCATCCTAGCTTCAAGATCTTGCTGCCAGTAAGTGCTCCTAGAGAGGCATTTCAGCTTTTTCAAATTAGGGGAAACTGCACAAAAATTGGGAAACCATTAAATGAAGGGTGGCTGGCAGGAGATGGACTGGAGGCAAGGGAAGGGGCTGTGGCTATCTAGGGCACCATCCGCGGGCTAGGTTTGGTTCCTGGGCGGAGATTCTCCACCACCATTCTATTGGTGGTTTTAAATTTATCATTTAAATTTTAAACAATCCTTTGACATTGTTGTTGTCACTAACGGTTTGCAACTTTCTGCTGTTGTCGTCCTCTTGATGAAATTATGTCTGTTTTGAAATGTTTGGCATTTCATAATCAGGTCCTCTAGACAGTTTTTTCAGGTTTGAAAAGCAGGGTAGAAATGTTTAAAAATAAAAGATACATAGAAAACTAGGGATGGAAAGCAGAGTTCCTCTTGTGTGGTTTTTAAATTGTTGTTTATTTCATTTCTAGCCCTCATGTCCTCCAAAGAACTCCTGTTAGCATACCTCTGCCCATCTTATCCTCACAAAAGTCCTATGAATTAGGCTAGACTGGGCCAGCTTGACTGATCGGAGTTGATCCAGTGAGGTTCATGGCACAGGGAGCATTTGAACTTGAGTCTTCCTAGGCTTTCCCAACATGGTGCCTTGCAGATGTTGTAGATGGTAACTCCCATCATCTATGGGGCCTAACTAGCTGGGGCTGATGGGCATTATAGTCCAAAACATCCAGACAACAGCAGAGTGGGAAAGGCTACCCTAGGTCACAGACCCAGCCTTAGCCTAACTTTCTAGTGAGCGCGCCACGTGGGTTCGCTCTGGTTCTAGCCAGGCTGTCTCTGTGACATCCTGGTTTGATTCAGGTTTGTATGGGTGTCATGTGAACCTGCCTCTCCCACCGTCTGAACTGGTGCAAGCTAGGGACAAAACAGACGTTACTGTAAAGACTGTCTTTCCATTTTCGCTCTAGATTAGGCTGTAGGGGCCCAGTCTAGATCAGGCCTGCTCCCACCCTAGAATAATTAAAACATACACACATAAAACTGCTAGGCCCACGGTGAAAGCAACGCCTGTTTTGTCCCCTCGACAGATTTAGCAGGCTTAGCTCTGTGGCAGAGCACACGTTTTGCATGTGGCAGGTTGCCATTTTAATCCTGAGCATCCCCAGGTAGGGCGAGGGGAAGCTATCTCAGGTCTGCTGCCAGAGGTGGGCAGAACATATCTCCCCAGATGTTCTAGCCTTCTACTCCCAGCATCCCTGACCATTGGCCAGGCTGGCAAGGGCTTCTGGACTTGAGATCCAAATCTTTCCCCTCTGGGTTCTCCCGTCTGCCCAGCCCTGGGCTAGGTGGAGCTTCAGTCTGAGACAGCATAAAGCAGCTTCGTGTGTTCCCCTCCCCAAAGATTCCGCCAGAGGCCAACCATTTCTGGGCTTTCTCATTTCAGAAAGGGAAGAAGTGCATACGGAGCCCCAAGTCCCGCCGGGCAATCCAGTTCGAGTTCACTGGCTGCACCAGTGTCCAGTCCTATCGACCTAAGTTCTGCGGCAGCTGCACCGACGGGCGCTGCTGCACCCCGCACGTCACCAGCACGGTGGAAGTGGCATTCCGGTGCCCAGAGGGAGGGTCGTTTGTCCGCAAGATGATGGTCATCAAGTCCTGCTCCTGCCACTACGATTGCCCTGCAGAGAACGACATCTTCCTGGCCGTCTACCACCGGCGGATGATTGGGGACCACGTCAAACTGGAGAGGCAGTAGCGCTTCACCCTCCTGGCTTCCTCAGTCCGGCAAACTGGGGCATGTATGAAAGTATCAAAAAATGTTTCTGCTACTGCCACCTTGGGCAAAAATAGAATGATGGAGAAGGGCCTCCATTACAGGGGTGGGCCAAAGGTGGTGCGGATGCCCAGGAATCACGTGGTCCTTTATGCTGCTGCAGGACATCCAGAGTTTGTGGTTCTAGGACCAGGGCCAAAGCACTTCACTTTGCCCCAACCCAAATTTCACCTCTATCCTAGATCCGAATTTACCTCCTGAGCAACACTCCAAGCAACTCTGATCCAGCCCTGACAACAACCTCTTCCCAGCATTGTGCAGGCCTCAGGCTAGTTCCATCAAGCAGATTCTGTACACAGTCCCTCACTTCTTCCTGGTATCCTTTTCTCCATCTTACAGCGACCACACTGTTTTCCTGCAGACTGTGGCCGACCACGTCATCCTGTGCTTCAAATACAAAATGTCCACAGCTTGAAAAGAAGTGGGACGCACGGGCCACGCTCCATGAGCTCTCTTCCAACCTCTTTCCACTCGAGTCAACACTCTTTGCCTCTATGTGGAGCTTTCACTATGCAAATGCCATGCCCCGTCCTTGGAAATTTCCAGGCAGGCTCCGGATGTGGTCATCATCCATTTGCAGCCCTCCTTTGTTTCCCCGCTGCTTCTTTTGCTTTTCATCTTACTGCAGAGAATCATTTCAGGAAGACAAGATGGAAGAGCTACACACAGTCTTCCGATTGGTTGTGCATGAGAAGCGTCCTAGCTGGAGCATGAAATCAGCCGGGGACGATAAGGTCATAATGCTTTACTATCACTGAAGCTGCTGAACAAGTCCTGATAAAAGCAGAGTGGAACTTGAAGCAAAACAAAACTTTGAAAACTTGGACTGTACAGATTGATAGCAGGAAGGATCTATCACATAGGTTTCTCTGATCTGCAAGAACCGATCGATTTGGGTATCCTGTCTCCTGCCAAATATCATTTGGAGATTGTTTCAAACATGTCAGGGCATTTTCAGGATAGAATCTTCTTGCCTCCCCTCCGTATCTCTGGCCCAAGAGAGAAACTGGAATCCAATTCGAGAGATTCTGGCCCTGCCTTTTCCAGATGTAAATACCATAGAGCACATTTTTCAAAATTTTGTAGTTACTTATTTTCATTGTGGCATATTTTTTTCTGCTGCTTTATTTCTCTGCTTCTTGCTTAAAAAACCCCTACACTTCTTCCTCACTTGGTGCAGAGAAGTCATATTAAAATAATGCTATGAAGACAATGCATTAAACATGGAGGATGATAAACCTCTTTAAAAAGCAGGAGAAAATGAAAAGCGGAACATCCTTTGAGTAAATAGCAATTCCTGCATGAATGAAGGACGGTATGTTATCACTAACATGATATGCATTTATATGCTGATAAAATCGCCGAACTGCTGATCACTGACCAGGAAATCAATCTTGGGGCCATGCTTGAGAGTGAGATGAAACCGTGTGCAGTGGCTGGAAAAAAAGGAGAGCCCCTGCTGGGGAGTCTTAGAAAGGGAACAGAAAAGCAACTTCCACGACCATAATGCCATTTTAGGAATCTCTGGTGCATGCAGCCATGCCTGGAGTCCTGTGTGCAGTTCCGGTCACCGCACCTCAAAAAGGATACGTGTGCAGCTGGAAAGGGGCAGAAAAGAGCAATGACATTGATCGAGGGACTGGAGCATCTCCCTTGCGAGGGGAGATTACAGTGTTTGGGGCTCTTTAGCTTAGAAAAGGGGTAAGGGGTGAGGACAAGACAGAGGATGCACAATTATGCCTGGCGCAAAGAAAGGGGATTGCGTCTCCCTCCTGATCTCTGAACCAGGAGTCATCCCATGCAGGTGATTTTGTGTGGAGCGCTACCTGTTTAAATAGTGCTGTTTGAGATGAGGAAGAGGGGCTTTGCTGTTCCAGTTTGAATGGCTTTTTAGCGGCCGCATCAGAGGCAGCAGCACAGGCCCCGAGAGCTCCCAGACCTGCTTTCCGCACGACCCACTCTGAGGAACTGAAGTTCCGTGGGTGGCCGAGCGATGGCCAGAGGAAGGGGCAGCTCCTCTCCAAGACGACAGTGTGTAGAGTTTTCGGGGATGCTCTGACAGGTTTGCAGTTTGCGATGCTCCTTCCTTATATGGAAAATGTGGGTTGCTTAGTTTGTGGCCTTCTAGGGAGCACGATTTTCAGGACGGATGAGTGGGAGACAATGGGTTGGCTTTGCCAGTTAATGGTGCTTCATTAGGGAGAACGCTAATGTTTGGCATGGGCAAGCCAGAGAGGGAAATAATCACCCGCTGGCAGAATTAGGTCACTGCTGGGTGTGCTTCTGCAGAGCAGCTTCGGCCAAGCTGGAGCTCCGCAGATGCGGTCCGCAGCTCCCACCCACCCTATCCCATTAGCCATGGAAGGCTGAACTAAAGTCCTGTTTTCTGGCATTACAAAGCAACCCCTCCTTGGGGTCAGTGCTAGGAACATCCAGGCCTATTTCTTGAAAAGCCTTTGCAGAGGAGCATCTGATACTGCAGTTGGAGACTTCGGGTCATCCGGGGTGGACCGAGAGAAATGGCCGAGGCTACCCGTGCCTCCCTTGTTCTCTGAGATAGGCTCTTCCGCCCACTGGGCTGGAGTATCCCGCACAGCTCTCCACGGAGCTAGCATGGCCGGTCACCTTTGCTAAGCTGGAACGGTGCAGGCGTGCAGCTGGATGGGTGACCACACACAGAAGCAGAGCAGGGGGCTGGACTGGATGGCCTTATTGACCCCTTCCAACTCTACCACTATTCTATTTATCTTGGATGTGGGGAGGAGGGGGCTGGAGAGGACTCAGGAGAACTCATCGCCTGGCCTCTTCAATCGCCTCTCCTGGCCCCTGCAATATTCCCGTCTCCCTCTCTCCAAGCTCACTTTCCCACTCTTGGAGAGTGTGGAGGACATTCCTGACGTGCTTCCCATGTCTGCTGCATAAAGGCCGGAGAGAAGGGGCCGAGCTCTGATCCCCAGGGCTGGAGGTTGGAGACAGTGCTCTGATCCAGATCCGGGAATCCAGGCTGGCCTATGGGCCCTCTAGCACTGTCCTAAGAGGCCCTAAGAGAATTCCTACAGTCTGCTACAGACTGTAAAACAGAACAAAATAAACAAAATCCTCAAATGAAAATATCTCCTTTGCCTTGTTGCCTCTTACAGTCTAACACATTTGGTAAGGCGTGAACTTTTGTGGCCTAGAGAGACACACGGCGCATCCCGTCTGTGCAAGGTTATGCCATAATAATAGGTTTGTTGGTCTTCAAAGGGGTAGGAGCCTCTTTGGTTTTCTCCTTTCCAAAGTGTCTTTCTAAGCTCTGAATTTGCTATCTTGGCGAAACAAAACAAAACCAAGAATAAAGCAGGTTTTGTCAAGCATTCTCAGGAACTGAACTGCTTTTCAACTAAAATGATACACTGAATGGATTAATGGGACTCAATTTCCCCTCGGTTGTGGCTCAGAAAGTGACATAGTTTTTGTAACTTAAGTTGGGAATCCTTGGAAATCAGCCATAAGCAACACCTTAGGTAGCATTTCTATGCCTGTCTTGTTGCTGCTTCAACGATCTTGTTCGCCCTACATGCTTCTATTGGAATGGATTCTTGCCCATGATCCAGCATTTGTTGGTGGGTATCATCCTGGAGAAGTATCTCCACAAAGACACAGCAACTTGGGTCAAAACTGGACTGAGTGTCCAGGTGTGGGACCCTTTGGTACTTTCCGCAAAAGTGAAACTTTCTGGCAGCCTGCTAACCAGCCACTGTGCCTGGGAACTGACATCCATTTTTGAAGCTACATTATGGCAGCTCCCGGGCCCAGTTGCCTGGCACAGGTTGAAGGTTTTTTTAAAGAAGTCAGGGGTGGTGCAGACGTCAGTGAGCCAGGACAAGTTTTGGGACCACAGCCGTTGCCCAAGAGTGCTGCCTACTGACCCCACGCTTGGCTGTAATGACATAAATGTGAGCTAGATCTTTAAAAACAACAGCAACAAAGCATCATCCTCCAAAATGCATCCAGATACAACAAAGCACCCAAAAGCAAATTACGGTGATTTATCATGCACAGCAAAGGAAGTCTAGGACGGCCCCTGCAATATGGGAGATAGTTAGAATTCAGGTGCGTCTGTGGCTTTGGTTCCAACCTGGTGACAAGGAAAACAGATGCTCACCCATCAGCTCCCTTTGGATACCCAAAGCCCCTGATGCTGAGCTACAAATAGCCACAAACAGATGTTCAAAGCAGCATCCAGTTATTGCAGCCTGAACAGAAGAGAGGCTTTATGGAGGCTTAGCAGCTTACGGGCTTCATCCATCGCCCCACTGTTTCAGGGGGCCCTTCCCCCTGGCCTGATCTGTACAGGATAAGACTGGCTTCCATTCATCCCTCTGTGGGATGTGTCTCCGGTGACAAACCTCCAGGCGCCCAGGGCTGATCCACCCAGTTAGGATGAACTGGTGGGCCCATCTCACACCCACTCAAAGGAGTAATATTTCCCAGCACTAGCGCACCGAGAATCCAAGAGTGAATCCAACATGTGAAGCTTCGCAGGGTGGTCTGCTTCTCTGCTGATCTATAGCAAGAGAAGACAGCTTTCCCTGCATCCTGAAGTTCTCCAGATGCGTTGGACTACACACCACTTCTCCAGTTCACATCTGTTCATTTGCACGGGGAAATCCTCACCTATTTCACATCCCCTCACTTGCTACCCTGGTTCTGAGATTCTTTTCGACTTGTCCAAGCCATTCCTTTTTTAATTATAGGTGTCTCTACTCTGCCCACTGGCTGTGGAAGGGTCAGCATGAACTTCAGCTACAAAGGAAACTGGGAGAAAGAAAGTGACATTTGCAGGTTGTCTTTTCCACCACAGGGTCTTGATTTAAACCACATGGCTTTTAAATTGCTGTTCTGCTGCTAATCACCCAGACAGCAGATTGCAATTTGCTTTCTACCCACC